CGAACAGGTCACACATCGCGGACAGCGCAGTGGGTGGTGTTGGTGCAGCGGGCTCCTCTGTCGGCGCCTCTCCCTCCCGCTGTGTCCCTCTCTGGCCCGGCTCGTGCGCGAGCCATCTCCGCCCGAACGGGATTTGCCGTGATATACATTATTGATAGTATTAATTAATTATTAATGATATTCGAATGATCAAATTTAGGTTCGAACTTATAAAAAAATAAATATATTTGAATATATTTCTAACTTCGATTTTTTTTTTGACCGCCCTAACACACATATTTACTGCTGGTCTATTCGCACGGGATTAGTATTACCTGAGGTAATTGTCCTGGACCCTTTTACAGAAGGTAAAAGTCGCGGTAATCTTTACTGACATCATGCGGTAATGATTACTGACATGGCACATTCGGACGGGACTAAAATCTATGGTAATTATTACTTTACCCCTCGTCCCTATGCAAAACTAATCCCGTCCGAATAGGGCTTAAGTGGTAATTTTGTGTGTCAGAATTTTAGCCATTTTGTTTCCTGTCTCGTTGTTATGGCCTCTTTGGGCCTCTTTAATTGTGTGTCTCTTTCAAGTTGTGTCTGATTGTAGTAATTTTGTGTTTCCTTGTGGTTGTTTTGTGTGTGTTTATAGTTGCTATGGTGGCTTTGAGGTAATTTTAAGTCTTTTTTTTTTGGTTGTTTTGTTTCTCTTTGTGGTCATTTCAGGTCTCCTCATGATTGTTTTGTGTGTCTCTGTGGTAATTTTATGTCTTTTTGTAGTTGTTTCGGTCTCTTTAAGGTAATTTTGTCTCTCCCTGTGGTTGTTTTGTGTCTTTTTGTAGTTGTTTGGGTCTCTATGAGGTAATTTTAATTAATTTTTTGGGTTGTTGTTGAGTGGTTGTAGTCATTTTGTCTCTCCTCATGGTGGTATTGTGTGTCTTTGGGGAATTCTTATGTCAGCATTTTACTCATCTTTGTCTCTTTGTTGTCATTTTGTTTCCTTTGTAGTTGTTGGGGGAAATTTAAGGTGATTTTGTGTCTCTCTCAAGTCCTTTTGTGTCTCATTGTAGTCATTTTGTGTTTTCTTGTGATTGTTTTGCATCAGTTTGTAGTTGTTTGGGTCTTTTTGAGGTAATTTTATGTCATTTTAGTTGTTTTGTGTCTCTTTGTATTCGTTATGTATCTCCTTGTTGTTTTTTTGTCTCTTTGTCATTATTTTCTGTCTCTTTGCAGTTCCTCTGCATGTCTTCGAGGTCTTTTTGTGAGTCTGCGTCATCATGTTTACTCTCTTTCTGGTCATTAGGTGTTAATGTGAGCGACATTTTGCCATTGAAGGCCAGGAGGCTCTCTGTCACTTTTGGCCCCTGTGCCTGTGCCCGATAGACCCATTCAGTAATCCATCCATGCTTTTACATTACACATTATGTTTTGATGCATTGTTAATATAGAAATATTGATCAGTGCAGCTTTAAAGAGTAACTAATTCAACATCATCTTATATAAGGACCGTCCGTGGACTCTGGTTAATCTTGATTTGAGTATGTTTCCTGGCAGCCTGGAGCTGGGGAGATAATTAAAACCATCAGAGCCATGGTTACAGTTATGTATGTGTCTGTGTGTCTTTGTTGTATCAGATCTAATATATTCCATGTGTGAAAGGAATCCGAGGGAAGCATTTTACTTTAGTTGAATATGAGTTGTCACCAGAATGCTCATCTATGTGCTCAAATAAAAAAACAACCCCCACTCAGCTGCTTCTTAAAATAAATGATGTACACTCCCCTTGGCTTCAGATCCTGTGCTCTGCTGCCCAGAGTCTATACATGTAGGTGCCAGACGCTGCTCAGGATTAGCTGGTGAGTCAAGTGTCCTGCTGCATTGGACCCAATACCCATTCACCAAACAAGGTGCTGCCGGCTGCCACGTCGATGCAGGAGAACTAATGCATCCATATCAATCCATCTTTTTACCTTCAGAGTCGTCTCCAGATAGTTTTACTGAGGATACATACCTGAGTTTTACTGTCCTGCTGTGTCTGAGGGAGCGTCCTTCCCATCTGACAGACAGGTCAATCTCCTTTGAAGTGGCTCCGTCTCACTCACTGATGGGGAGGCCAGAGAACGAGCCTCCCCCTCAAGACCCCATTAAAGCAAAACCCAGGGTCCACAGGTTTGATATTCATCGCCTGGGCAACCTCTGCCATCAACACATTTTGTGCCACGTGAGAATGATCACAGCTTATTAAAGTGGAAATAATGACTGCTCTACCTCCGGCATGAAATATTTAACAAGGACAAAGGAGATGGCTCAAAGGTGATTCATATCTGTGTTGAAAGGAGGGAACGTGGACAATACCGGCTACGCAGGAAGTGCAGATGAACCTTGGTTAACCCGGGCTTAGAAGAGACTGTCGGCACTTGAAATTTGTGTCTTAATGGAGGCAGAAAGAGCAGAATGGTGAAAGAGGGTGTTCTGAATTAATGTTTATTAGGCATAACAAAGATGTTGGTGTAACAGCGAGCAACATCCTGCACGGTACATTTCCCTCTGTTCACCTCATAGCATTTATTGCACAAAGCAGACACTCAGGTTTGAAATGTATGTGTTAACCATCATTTCATTGTAATCATTTCT